TTTCTCAGCCCTGGATCTATTGACATGGAGGGGTGGGAGGCTGTCCTGTGAACTGCAGGATGTTTAACAGCATCCTTGGCCGATACCCACTAGGTGCCATTATTAGTACATCCTTGGTTGTGATAACCAAAAATGTCTCCAGATGTTGTCAATGTCCCCTGGGAGGCAAAATCATTCCAGTTGAGAATCATTAATTTGGCTAAAGGATAAAAGATCTGGCTGGGCACAGTGGCTTACATCTGTAATCCCAACACTTTGGGAGACCAAGGTGGGCAGATTACTTGAGCCCAGGAATTCGAGACCAGCCTGGGCAACAAAGCAAGACCCTATCTCTACAAAAAATACAAAAATTTGCCAAGCATGGTGGTGTGCACCTGTAGTACCAGCTAATCAGAAGTCTGAGATGGGAGGATCACCTGAGCCTGGGGAGGTCGAGGCTGCAGTGAACCATGATCTCCAGCCTGGGTGACTTTGAGGCCCTGTCTCAGGGAAAAAAAAAACAAACAAAAAATCCTACTCAGAGAAAAGTCTGGAGTTGTAAGGGAAAAAGATTTTCTACCTAGCATGACAGGTATAATAGTGAAGTATATAATGTTCTATAGAGTGTCTGGAATATTTTTCTTTTTTATTTGAGACGGAGTCTTGCTCTGTCGCCCAGGCCAGAGTGCACTGACGCCATCTTGGCTCACTGCAACCTTCGCCACCCAGGTTCAAGTGATTCTCCTGCCTCAGCCTCCTGAATCGTTGGGACTACAGGCATGCACCACCATGCCCGGCTAATTTTTGTATTTTTAGTAGAGATGAGGTTTTGCCATGTTGGCCAGGCTGGTCTCGAACTCCTGACCTCAGGTGATCTGCCCACCTCAGCCTCCCAAAGTGCTGGGGTTACAAGCGTGAGCCACTGCGCCTGGCGGAGTGTCTGGAATACTAATTCTTATCCATTCCCACAGCATGGAACACTCACAAGAGGGTTGCAGTTTCATTAATATAAATAAGGCTAAAACCGGAAGTGATTTTTTTCCCTTTGCTCAAATATTATTAATTCTATGAATAAGTTCCCAACAGTGGGACTACTGGGCAAAGAGCAAGGACATCAGGTATGGACAGCCAAACAGCTTTTCCAATGCTGTCACCAGTATGTCTGAATGCATCAGCCTTTCCAAATCATACTCTATCCCCAACTGTAAGTTTCTGCAGGAGTGGGGCTAGTTCAACTCCAGCACCCACGGCCCGGCAAACAGCAGGCATTCAGTACTTGTGACTTGAATTGAATCCCCCTTCAGCCTCCCATCCAGCGTATGGATGCCTTGATTCTCAGCAAACAAAAGAGGAGTGTCTGGCGGGGAGTCTAGAGTCCCTCTACCTTCCCTGCAGGACTCACGCTTTAGGGATTGCCACGCTCAGCCGCACAGGCTTAGCCCCCAGTCCCACTGCTCCCTGGCACTCCGTCAGGGCTCGCTTCTGTTCCAGTTCATCTGTGAATTTCACAAAACCATAACCCCTGCATGAAAAAAATAAACAATTTAGATCACAAATGTGATGAAAGTCTAACAATGGACACATGAAAAAGAAGTAAAGATAAGAAGGTGGGCAGGAATGTAGAAAGGAAAAGAGGCTGAGGAGAGAGAGAGAGAGTCCATTAAACTAGAGGAAGAAAGGAGAGTCCCATCAACGGGTGTCCACATAGTGTCAAGATTCAAGTACAGACGATTCTAAGATCTACAGGAACTCCCACATTCAGTTCACCATCCTCCTTGACCCCTTCACCCCTGGGGAACATTCCCAAACAGGAGCTTCCCTGACACCCTGCTGGAAAGTAGCTAATAGAAGAAAATTCAGCAAATATTTACAGTCTGCCCTGTATGCCAGGCACTGCGCTAGACACAGGATGCAGCAGTCACAGAAAGACAACGCTCCTGCCCTCCTGAGCTCTAATTCTAGCAGCGGGATAAATTACTGCAAGCTAACATTTAACAAATATTTATTGTCCTAGCACTCTGCTGAGCATTTTCTTTTTTTTTTTTTTTTTGAGATGGAGTTTTGCTCATGTTTCAAAACTCCATCCAGGCTGGAGTGCAAAAGCGTGATCTCGGCTCACTGCAACCTCTGCCTCCTAGATTCAACCAATTCTCCTGCCTCAGCCTCCCTAGTAGCTGGGGTTACAGGC